TCTCCGGAGGGCTTGGGCGACCCGTCCTCCTCCTCCTCCTCCTCCTCCTCTCCTCCTCCTCCTCCTCCTCCTCCTCCTCCTCCTCTCCTCCTCCTCCTCCTCCTCCTCCTCCTCCTCCTCCTCCTCCTCCTCCTCCCCCTCGGGTCGCCTACGGCCTCGGGGGAACCCGTGCACAGGGGGGACCGTGGACGGGAAGGGAGGGGCACTGAGTTCCCCCTGTCCAAATTGGGGGGGACGGGGGGCCCGCAATCTAATTTGGGACCCCCCCCGTCAGGGAAGGAAAAAAGGGAAAGGGAGTCGACTTAACTGCGACCTTGCTTTTCTATGTTCGTTCCTCCATTGCCTTGGGCCTGGCGACGACGACGACAATGATGAAGACGAAGACTAAGACGATGACAGCGTCTCACACACGCCGAAGGGTCGGCAGATTTATCAGGAAGTGGGACGGAGGAAGTGTTCTGGCCTATGCTGCACAGAACTGGACAGAGGTGCAGGGCCCTTCGCGCTTGTCTTCCTACTCATTGTCCTTCTGCCCCCCTCGTTGCCCTCCTCGTCATCCACGCTGCTATCCTCGACATCCGCCGCCTCGTCGTCGCCATCATCCTTTTCTTCTTGTCCCCCCATACGAGCCCCATGGACAAAATCTGCGCTTCTCGTTCTTGTCCGATCAGGTTTAGAAGGCAGTGGGATGGAGGAAGCGTTCTGGCCTGTGCTGCACAGAACTGGACAAAGGTGCGGGGCCCCTCAACTGCCCTGCGTGCCAGGGTGGACCGTCGCCCACGGGGTCCCGACACTCCACATCTCGGGGGCCCCAAAACGATGTAGTTACCACACCGTGTGATGAGTCTAGGCCTCCTAGACGGAGTTCGAGCAGATGGGGTCGGAGGATCGCGCCGTGCCGTCGATGCATCGGAGATGCGGCTCGATGTGGAGCCCGATTTCCTACACGCTGGAGTCGCCGATGCATCGGCGATACATCGCCGATGTATCGGCGATGCGGCGCGATCCTCCGACCCCATCTATTCGGAACCCCATCTAGGAGGTCTCTTGTGATGAGTCAGGGGTGGTCCGGGGTCACCGCACGCTTTTGGGACTCGGGTCGTTCCCCGAGGATGCCTTGGACAACTGGGGCCTCCAGAGTCCCAGGGCCGTGTGGTGACGGACCGTGCGGCGAGGTCTCTTGGAATTCCGAGGTTACCGCGCGGTCTGTCACCGCACGGCTCTAGGGACCCCAACCACAGGACCCCGCTCGTGTGGGTCCTCCCCGTGCTTCTCGGGCGCCAGGGATGACCGTCGCCCACTGGGTCCCGACTGCGACGGTCCGCCCATGGGGCCCCGCCCATACGGTGGACGGCCGCGGTCGTCGGTTCAGGCCGGGCGGCAGTTTTCGGTGCTCGAGGTTGGGGGCTTTCGGTGATGGGCCTGTTTTCCACCACCACCACCACAACCATAAGTAGGAGAGGGAGGGGGTCATCCTTCTCCTCCTCCTCCGCCTCCTCCTCCTCCTCCTCCTTGCCCCCTCCAACTTCTTGTGGTGGTGGTGGGAAACAGGCCCCTCATTCGGGTGTGCTCGTCGGCGCTCGGCGTTTCTCTGGCCTCGGGGTGCCTTTTTCTGCAGCAGCGGCACCTCGCCGAGAGCGCTGCCAGGAGAACGGAGCCAGGACCCGAATAGACCGGGGAGTTCAAAGCCTGAAGGATCGCGGTTTGTGGTTTCGGCCGCATATATATATATATATATATATATATTATATATATTGTATATGTATACATATGTAATATATATATATATATATATATATACATGGATGTCTGGAGTCTAAAACCCCACGCCGGGCGATTCGCCAGCGTGGCAGCGCGGGGCGCCGCGGCTCTTATTCGGACACAGGGACGGGCCGAAAAAGAAACGCGGGCCAGGCAAGGGACAGAAACGGGCAAGAGAGCGAGGAGCCGAGGAGCGAGGGGGGGAGCGCCGAAGTTTGGGGCCTGGGTTGGTTGGCCGTGGGCTCCTGGTCACCAGTCCCGGGTGTCGGGGTTGGCCTGTGCCCATGAGGCGTCCTCGGTGGCGAGCGAGTGTGGGAAGTGAGAAGGAGAAGGCCTCCTCAGAAGCTTCGGAGGTCCCCCGGCCCTCTGAGAAGTTTTTGGGGCCTTTTCCCCGAAGACATGGAAAAAGAGTCTCAGAGGGCGCGAGGGCTTCCGAGAGGTCCCCCCGCTTGCTGAGAAGGCTTCCTCCTCCTCGCTTCCCCCACTCGCTCGCCGCGGACATGAGGCGTCCGCCCATCGGGTGCCGCTGTCGGTGGCCCTGGGCGCCGGTGTTGGTCGTCATCGGTGGGCCCTGGCCTGAGCGTTCCGCCCATCGTTTGCCCTGCGTGCCAGGGCCCCGCCGGGAGTTGCCTCGCTTGGCGCCCCTGCCTTGCCTGGCGTCCACGCGCCACTCCCTGCCGCTCCCGTCCTGTCGCCGTGACCCAACGCGCGGCTCAGAGAACGGCCCCAGGATCATTTCACCGAGCGCGCCCCGCTATTCGCAAAGTGCCTACTCGCAAACGTCCCGAAAAAGAACAGCTTTCCCATACGTAATGGATCGTAAATCCCCCGCGGCGGATCCAGACCATTTGCGAGTAGTTACCTTGCGAGTAGTGGACCGCGCTTGTCTATAATTAGTGCCGGGCATAGACGTTGAGACGCCTTCGGGCCGGTCGTGGCCAGGAGGGGAAGAAGCGTGCAGAGGGGGCCCACGTCGAGAAACACCCTGCTCGCCTCCAGGGTGCCCCGGGTTTCTTGGGTCTTGAGGGTCTTGCGATGGAGAGCGTGGCGCTCCCACACTAGAAATCCATGGACGTCCTGGGGTCTCAGGGTTGGGCTTGTGGTTCTCGTGGACTGGCCTCCACTGTATGTCTTCAGGCGCGCGCGGGCACGCGGGCCCGCAGCTTCTGGCTCAGGGGAACCTGCCGGCGCAGGGCTGGCGCGCTGCGGCCTGGCCCCTCGGCGGCGCAGGGGCGGCAGCATGGAGGCCGCGACCGCCGCCAGCGCGCTCGAGGTGCTGCGGGGCATGTGCCGCCAGTCCGAGGAGGCGCCCGAGGCCTTCTGCGCGGAGTACGCCGCCACCACCGCGCGGGCGGTGGAGCTGCTCGCGAGGAGCGAGGGCGACGCACTGCTGGTCGGGGCGGGCGGCGAGACCTGCCTGCACTACGCGGCGGGCTGCGGCTGCCTGGAGGCCTGCAGCTCCCTGCTGGGCCGCCGGGGCGCCCTGAACTTCCAGCAGGACGCCCTCGGCCAGACGCCGCTCTTCTGGGCGGCGCGGCGCGGCATGGTGCAGACGGCGCAGCTGCTGCTCGCCCACGGCGCGGACCCGGACCACGCCGACCGCCAGGGCCTCACGCCGCTGCGCCTCGCGCGGCGCCTGGGCCTCCCGCGGCTCTGCCGGGCGCTGCGGGCGCACGGCGGGCCCGACGGCGGCGGCCGCGGGGCGCCTCCGCGCGCGGCCGCGGCGGCCGGCCCCGAGGCCGCCCGCCCCGAGCCAGAGCAGCACGCCGCCCGGCTGCGGCCGGCCGCCGCCCCGCGCCGGCAGGCGTGGGCGCTGCCGCGCACGGCGGCGGCGGCGAGCTGCCCCGCGGCCGCGCTGGAGGCCGAGGCGGCGCTCCTCAGTGCGGGGGCCTCCTGGATGGGGTCGGGGTGGATGGGGTCAGGAGATCGCGCCGCATCGCCGATGCATCGGCGCGAGGTGCGGCCCAATGTGCTCCACGCCGACGTCGCGGATGCACCGCCGACGTCGCCAGTGCATGGCCGATGCATCGGCGATGCATCGCCGATGTATCGGCGATGCGGCGAGATCCTTCGACCCCATCTACTCCGACCCCGTCTAGGAGGCCTCTATCAGTATCGTTTAACCGATCCCCATCCCCATCCCCATCCCCGTCGGGACCCCCACCAGATTACCCCCCAAGTGGGGGTAACGGCCCATATCCCCATTTGGGGGGGAAGTGGCCAATGGGGCCCAGGCCACGCCGCTGGGTTTAGGGTTTCGGGTTTAGGGTCCACTAGCCCAAATTTGAAGCCTGTTGGACGTGTCCCACCCACCCATGCCCCAAGACATATTGATTTCAAAACGACGACGACGATACAGATGACGAAGACGATATTGATTTCAAAACGACGACGACGACAGTCGCGCAAAGTCTTCTGGGAAGTCGCTGCAACGGCGATGCGGCACGCGCGCGCGACGACGCGATTTGAAGAAAAACGCATGTTTACGCGAGCCCCTGTGCGTCGCAGGGACGCCGCCCAGCGGCGGTGAGATTGCATGGAGTGGTTGCGCAACAAGCGTGGGACAGCTCGTTGCCTCGAGGAGACGGACCCCAGTTCGCATCCTTAGCACTGCGGCGCGGTGCGCGAAGGCCGATGCAAGGGCGATGCGACGCGCGCGCGCGCGAAGCGACAAAAACGACTAGCCCCCAGCAGCAACTGACCGACGCCTTGGCGATGCATACCCCAGCTTGCAAGGATCTGCGCGAGGGGCGCGCCCTGGGATTTGCACAAATTCTCGGAACACCATTCCCGGCACTCCGAGGGCAAGGATTTGCGCGAGGGGTGCGCCAACATCGGGGCGCGCATAAGGGGCGGCGCAAGGGCGCTTCAAGGCAGTTTAGGATTTAGATTTCTGTGGGCTCTTAGCTCTTAGGGTTTAGGGTTTAGGGTCCACTAGCCCAAATTCTTGACGCTTCGCGTATCCCCACCAGCCCATCCAGTAACGATGCCCAGGCGAATGGAGGTGATCAGGGAAGTGAGGGAGCATACAGAGTAACAAGGGCCTGGGGAACCCGTCTTACCCAAGACGGCGAGGATGGAGGAGGAGGAGGAGGAGGAGGAGGAACTGAAGGAGGAGGAGGGGGAGCGGGAGGAGGGAGAAGGGAGGAGGAGCAATGGGCGGATGAGGAGGAGGAGGAGGAGGAGGAGGAGGAGGAGGAAGAGGAGGAGGAGCAGCAGGACGAGAATAAGGAGGAGGAGGAGGAGAAGGGCGAGCAGAATGGCCAGATGCCTGTTGGATGCCTCTCGGAGTCTCTTCGGATGTCTCTTGGGAGCGTCCTGAAGGCCTCTTAGGGCGTCTTGGGAGCGTCTTGGCGGTCCCGGAGGCCTCTTGGGGCGTCTTGGGTGCCTCGGGGGGCCTCTTGGGGACCTCTTGGGGCCATCTGGGGGCCATCTTGGGGCCATATTGGCGCCTCTTGGGGCCTCCTGGGCGCCTCTTGGGGCCATCTTGGGGCGCTCTTGGGAGCCTTGGGAGCGCTCTTGGGGCCATCTTGGAAGTGATCGATCAAAGGAAGGGGGTCCCCCAATTAGCCTTCCCCCTTCGGGGGCCTCTAAAATCGGCCAAAACCTTAGTAAAACCAATGAGTTTGGCTTCCTCGCCGATGCCGTTTTGGACGCTCTAACTACCAGCGGCCCCCCCGTCCAAGTCCAGGGGAGGGGGTTACGGGGAGGGGCACACCCCTCCCCGAATGGGATGAAGGAGGGGTGGGAGAGGAAATTCCCGAAACTACCTACGCCCAGAGGGCTGGTGGGATTTGAGGCCTGTTGGACGTGTCCCACCCACCCATGACCCAAGACATATTGATTTCAGAACGACGACGACGATACAGATGACGAAAACGACGATATTGATCTCAAAACGACGACGACGACGACGACGACAGTCGCGCAAAGTCTTCTGGGAAGTTGCTGCAACGGCGATGCGGCACGCGCGCGCGACGACGCGATTTGAAGAAAAACGCATGTTTACGCGAGCCCCTTGTGCGTCGCAGGGACGCCGCCCAGCGGCGGTGAGATTGCATGGAGTGGCTGCGCAACAAGCGCGGGACAGCTCGTTGCCTCGAGGAGCGGATCCCCAGTTCGCATCCTTAGCACTGCGGCGCGGTGCGCGAAGGCCGATGCAAGGGCGGTGCGACGTTCGCACGCGAAGCGACAAAAACGAGTAGCTCCCAGCAGCAACTGGCCGACGCCTTGGCGATGCATACCCCGGTTTGCAAAGATCTGCGCGAGGGGCGCGCCCTGGGATCTACAAAAACTCAGAACATCATTCCCCGCACCCCGAGGGCAAGGATCTGCGCGAGGGGTGCGCCAACATGGGGGCGCGCATAAAGGGGCGGCGCAAGGGCGCTTCAGGGCATTTCAGGATTTAAATGTCTATGGGCTCTTAGCTCTTCGGGCTTTGGGTGCAGGGTCCACTAGCCCAAACTTGAACCCTGTTGGACGTGTCCCACCCACCCAGAACACAAGACATATTGATTTCAAAACGACGACGACGACACCGATGACGAAGACGACGATATTGATCTCAAAACGACGACGACGACGACGACGACGACGACGACGACAGTCGCGCAAAGTCTTCTGGGAAGCCGCTGCAACGGCGATGCGGCACGCGCGCGCGCGACGACGCGATTTGAACAACAACGTATATTTACGCAAGTCCTTATGCGTCGCAGGGACGCCGCCCAGCGGAAGTGTGATTGCATGGAGTGGTTGCGCAACGAGCGCGGGATAGCTCGTTGCCCCGAGGAGACGGATCCCCAGTTCGCATCCTTAGCACTGCAGCACGGTGCGCGAAAGCCGATGCAAGGGCGATGCGACGCGCGCACGCGAAGCGACAAAAACGACTAGCTCCCCGCAGCAATTCACCGACGCCTTGGCGCTGCCATTCCTGGAGCTCCGAGGGCCAGGATCTGCGCGAGGGTTGCGCCCTGCGATTTGCCGGAGCTCCCAGAACACCGTTCCTGGCACGCCGATGGCAAGGATCTGAGGGATGCACCCTGGGATTTGCAAAAAGCTCTCAGAACAGCATCCCTGGCACGCCGAGGGTAAGGATCTGCGCGAGGGGTGCGCCGATCCGGGGGGGGGCGGCATGAGGGGCGGCTTAAGGAGCACGGTGGGCGCTGGAAGAACTCAATTTGTATAGGCCCTCAGTTCCAACAAGAGCGAGAAAATGTCAACATATTGGACATGTCACACATTGGCGCTCTGGCGCATGCTACCCATCGGGGAAGGACGCGTGGATCAGCGAGGAGCAAGAAGGAGCAGCGCGGAGCACGCGCGAGGAACAGCAGGCAGGAAGAACCGCACAGGAACGCGCGGCGGGATGTGGGGAGCATTCAGCCGCGCGGGTGGGATGTGCTCCGCGCTTCATTTTTAATAAAGCATCCCGAGGGGGCAAGGAGTTCGCCCCCCGCGCGCGCGGGGTGCAGCCCGCGCCACAGTTTTCATTGAGCATCGCGCGAGTTTAGGGATTCGCTTCGCACAGCGATGTGCGCCGCGCTACGTTTTGGATGGATGATCGCGAGGGGGCCAGGGTTCACTTCCCCAGAGGCGCGGCCCGGGGGGGAACTCAGCCGCGCGGGTGGGACGTGCCCCGCGCCACGTTTCTAATGGAGGACTGTGAGGGGCAAGGAATTCACCCCTTTCGGCCGCGCGCGCGGGATGTGGCCCTCGCCACAGCTTTAGTGGAGGATCGTGCGGTTTTAGGAATTCGCTTCGCACGGCGACGCGCGCCGCGCTGCATTTGTTGATGGATGGTCGTGAGGAGTTTAGGAATTAGCCTCCCAGGAGGGGCCTCCCAGGGGAATGTGTGTTTAGGATTAAAATTAGTATTGATAAAGGGTTTCGGGGGGTTTGGGGCCAACTGGAGCGCGAAGATGTCAACATACTGGACGTGTCACACACACACACATACTGGCGCGGTGCTCACATCCCACCCACCCTAGAAACCCAGTACATATCAAGACGCACACTCTGGCGCATGCAAGCCATCGGGGAAGGTCGCGTGGAGCAGCGAAGAGCAGGAAGGAGCAGCGCGGAGCACGCGGAAGGAACAGCAGGTAGGAGAAACAGCACAGGAGCGCGCGGCGGTCCTCGGGAGGAGCGCGCGACATCGTGTCGGAGTGTCTGGATGGGGGGGATTCCCGAGCGGGAGAGGCACGATCCTCGAGCGGGCACGCGTGGGATGGGGTTTAGGAAGTAGCCGCCACGCGGGATCGGGCACCATCCTCGAACGGCAGGGGCACGAACCTCGAGCGGACACGCATGGTTTTAGCGGGTTTGGAATTAGCCGCGGCGCGATCCTTGAGCGGGAGGGGCGCGATTCTCGAGCGGGCACGCATGGGATATGGGGGGTGAGGAATTAGCCGCCATACGGGAGGGGCAGAATCCGTTCGCGGGCACGCATGGAATAGGGGCATAGGATTTAGCCCCCCAAGGCGGAGGGGCGCGATCCTCGAGCGGGCACGCATGGGATAGAGGGTTTAATTTGCCGCCACGCGGAGGGGCGCGGTCCTTGAGCGGGAGGCGCGCGATCCTCGAGCGGGCACGCATGGGATAGGGGTATAGGAGGTTTAGGAATCAGCCGCCATGCCGGAGGAGCAAAATCCGTGTGCGGGCACGCATGGAATGGCGTTTAGGAATGAGCCCTCTAGGGCGGAGGGGCGCGATCCTCGAACGGGCCTTCATGGGATACGAGGTTTAGGAATTAGCCGCTTGCGGGAGGCAGAATCCGTGTGCGGGCACGCATGGAATGGGCGTTTAGGAATTAGCCCCGACAAGGCGGGAACCAAAGGGAGCATTTGGGTTTTACCATCTGAATTAATATGTGATGAAGGGTGTTTAGGTTAGGGCTTAGGGTTTAGATGGGGGCCCGATAAACGATGCTCAGCTCCGGGAGGACGCGTTGCACGGCTGCCTCGCAGAGGCTTGGGCCCACCGGCTGGACTATGCCGGCCCCGCCGCGCGGCTGCTGGAGGCGGGGTCGTGGCTGGACATCGACCCCCCGGAACTCGAGCACGTGTCTGCGGAGTCGGTGGGCGTCAGCTGCGTGATCGCAGACCTGGAGTACCGGCTGCCGAAGAAGAAGAAGAAGAGGAAGAGGAAGAAGAAGAATCGACTACACGTATGAGTGACCCTCCGCCGGAGTGACCTTTGGTGCGGGCCCACTGTGGTCTCCCGATCGCCGAACGCGATGCGGCAATAGCGCCTTCCGCGCTCGTGTTTGGTCCACCCGCGGCCCTCCCAAAGCCGCTCACCAAAGGTCACTTTCACCCAAGGTCACTTTCGAGTTTAGTCGACAGAAGAAGAAGAAGAAAACGGCACACTTCGCAAGTTTCGGAGGTCCGCGCGGAGTTTTTGGATCGGTGTTGGACCCCCCCCCTCGGCGCGCGGAGCGCGCCGAGGGGCGGCGCCGGCGGCGCCGCCAGGCACAGCGCCGGTCCAAAAAGTCCGCGCTGAACTTCGAAGGTGCATCTTTACGCAGCTTTTCTGGCCGCGCCACACGGTCGGGGTATTACCCGTCCCCTGGAGCGGCTCCTGCTCGTCCGGCCACCTCCTCTGCTCCCTCCGCCTCGTCTTTCGGCCACCTCCTTGGCTCCCCCCGCCTCGCTCAGGGCGCTCCTTCCGCCTCATTTTTCGGCCACCTCCTTTGCTTTTCCCTCCCTCCTGCACGGTGGCACGATTCGCTACAACGGTTTCCCAGTTTCGGCGGCGTTCCGCCAGCGCAGTTACCTGGCCTATGGGGAAACCAAAAGGTACCGATACCGCCACTCCCCGGACCTCTCCACGGGCGCGTTCTGACCAGGATTCCAGGGCGAATCCAGCGGTGGGGACGAGGGCCTCCCAAGAGGCCCGAAAAGGGGAAAACGAGGCGAGGGTAGCGGTATCGGTGCCTTTCCCTCCTCCGAGCCGCCGACGACGCAAAAATTCTTATGCTGTTATCTTTGTTCCTCGAGGCTGGTGGAGTACGTCCTGGAGGTGCGCCGCTGCGACGGTGCGCCCCGCGGCGGCGCTCCGTTGCGGGTCTACTACGCGCGCACGGGCGCGCAGCGCAAGGTGGACGACGTGCTCTTCGAGGTGCCCCGCAGGAGGCCCGCGGGGGTGCCCGTGTGGGAGCCCGGAGGCGACCGGCGGCGCAGAGAAGCGGCTCGCGCGGGTCTGCGCCTCCTAGATGGGGTCCGAGGAGATGGGGCCGGAGGATCGCGCCGCATCGCCGATGCATCGCCGATGCGGCTCGATGTGGAGCCTGTGTTTCCCCACGACGGCGCCGATGCATCGCCGACGTCGCCGATGCATCGCCGATACATCGGCGACGCAGTGGCGATGTTGCGCGATCCTTCGACCCCATGTATTCGGACCCCATCTAGGAGGCCTCTGGGGGGGGGGGGCGGGGGACCGGCGGCTTCCGATGGGGGCTCTGCTGTGTTCCTGCTCGCTAACATTTTGTCACGCGCGCGGAGCTGCACTGTCAATGCCGCGCTCTCCCCGTGGCTTCGCCGCGTCCCCTGCTCGCAGCGCGCACCGCCAGGGGCGGCGGAGAGCTCGAGAGATCCACCTGCCAAGCGAGGGAGCTGCTCGGAAGCCGCCCCGGCTTCCAGGAGGCCCTCCTCGAGGCCTCTGGGGCCCTGCTGCCCTCCTCGGAAGGCCGCCCCGCGCCGTCCCCCGCCCCGCCCTCGCGCGGACGCCGCCAATCAGCCACGCGCAGAGGAGGGGGGAGGGCTTGTTAGAAGCAGCCCCCCTCTGAGAAGCCCTCCCCCCTCCCTCCATCCTCCTTGCGCGCGCCGCCAAGCCGAGGCGTCTACCAGTTCCGCCTGACGGGGCGCTGCTGCCGGCGGGAGATGGCGTACCTGCACCACCCGAACCACTCGCGCCTGGTCCCCCAGCAGGCGAGCAGCGCAAGCAGCAGCAAGCAAAAACGGATTGGACGGCGCGGCCATCCGCGCGCAAGCTGCCCGCGCGAGGTCGCTCGCAGGCGCCCTCGTTTCCTCTGCAGCGTGCCGCGCTGGCGGCCCGCGTAAGCCGCGGCGTACAGTGAGCGGCTTGAGTAAGGAACACTTACGTTTCAAAAGGGGCTCGGTCGTTCCTTAAGGCAAGCATGCGTTACGTATCCTTCCTTATGCGTTTTTTATTATTCATTGTTCCTTATGCTTTTATCCTTGGAAAACTGGGGCTTCGTTCCTTATTTATCGTTCATCAGGTCAGGCCGATGACTTTAAGGGTGGCAGGTCGTCTCGCGTACAGTCGGACCCAGGCAGAAAAGGTCGAGGTCGGCTCGGGGAGGGCACCCGAATGTCCTTCGTGCTTGTGGGGTGTCCTTGTGCACCCGGGGGAGGGTACCCCTGGATTTTCTTTGTGTTTGGGCCGGCGGAAGGTCTCGTGTTCTTGAGGGATACTATTCTGGACGCCCGAGATGGGTACGGAAAGAATGGGTACGATGCCCAACAGCAGTTCCTGTTCATTCTGAACAGGATTCGCTGTCCGCGCCGCCGCGGCCTGTGTCCATTCGAGACAGAAGGCCGCCTGCCCAACAGCGGCCGCTGTTGGTTTGGGACAACATTTGTTGTTGGGCATTGTACCCATTTTTTCCGTACCCATTTCGGGCGTCCAAAACTATCATGGTTCAGTTCCGACTGTACGACTCGGCTGGTTTCGTCGCTCAGGTGGCATCGGAGTGGTCCAGGCCGGCGCCGCTGCTGCCGCCGAGGCCTCGCCGCGCGCGCCCGGGACGGCCGCGCGCCGAATAAGGTCGGGGAGCGCGCGTGCCGACGAGGCGCCGCGCGCCCGGCGTTCGGGGAGCCGCCGTGACCGACCGCGCACGGCTCCCGGCTGCATGGTGCAACAAGAAGTCCCCACAGATCAGCATCGTCTAGCCTGTCCTCCCCATCCCCACCGAGCCGTGGTGTCTGACAGCCCCACCAGCCCAGCTTTCTAGGCGGGGATAGGCCCCGTGAGATCCGAAAGGACAGGCGCATACACACACACACACACACACACACACACACACACACTCACACTCACATATACACACACACACACATGTATGTGCACACATGGTCCAGGGCTTGCCCCCCCCCCAATGCTGATGCCATTGGGCCCCCCCCCCCCCGCGCGATGGTCCCCCCCGCCCCCCCCTGTGGGCGTGGCGTGGTGCTGCGCTGCGGTTCCCCCCCCCCCCTGTGGATGTGGTGTGGTGCTGTGGTGGTTCAGAGGTGGGCGTGGCGTGGTGCTGCGCTGCGGTGCCCCCCTCCCCCCCCCTGTGGATGTGGTGTGGTGCTGTGGTGGTTCAGAGGTCGTCGTCGTCGTCGTCGTCGTCCTCGTCGTCCTCGTCGTCCTCGTCGTCCTCGTCGTCCTCGTCGTCCTCGTCGTCCTCGTCGTCGTCGTCGTCATCGTCGTCGACGTCGTCGTCATCGTCGTCGTCGCAGTCGTCATCGTCGTCATCGTCGTCGTCGCCGCCGCCGCCGCCGGCGTCGTCGCCGCCGCAGCCGTCGTTGTCGTCGTCGTGGTCGTCGTCGTCGTCGTCGCCGTCGTCGTAATCGTCGCCGTCGTCGTCGTCGTCGTCGTCCTCTGAGACCATGCCATCTGGGGGGGGGTGGGCCGAGGAATCCTGGGACCATACCATCTGGGGGGGGGGGCGTGGGCCCTCGACCCTGGATCATATATATATATATATATATAACTTTTTATTCTACAAAAAAGTAGGGGGTCCCGGGGCCCCCAAAGTGCACTGATTTGTCTTCCGGCCGTTTCGGGCCGGCGGGGGGTGCTAAAAAAACGTCAAAAGGGGCCGCGAGACGTCCAAGAGGGCGCCAAGACGGCCCAAGAGCGCTCCAAGAGACCCCAAGACCGCACAAGAGCGTTTCAAAAGTGGTCCAACATGGCTTGCAGACAGCCCAAGAGGGCTTCAAGACGGCCAAAATGCAGCCCACGACGGCCCAAGAGGCACCCAAAGAGGACGCCACGACGGCGCAAGAGAGCCCCAAGACGGCACAAGAGTGCCCCAAGACGGCCCAAGAGGCGCCCAAGATCCCCCAAGAGGGGCCCAAGAAGGGGAACACGAAGCGACAATTCGAGCCTTCCGCCCTAAGAGGCTTCCAGGAGGCCCCAAGAGGCCCCCAACAGAGCCCAAGAGGCTCCCTAGAGGCCCCACGAGGCCCCAAAGGGGCCAAAAAAGACGCCCCACGAGCACCCAAAACGGCCCCCAAGAGGCCTCCAAAACTGCCGTCAAGAAGACCCCGGGAAGCCTCCCACGAATTCCAAACGAACTTCCAGGAGGCCTCTAACCCACAACCCAGGCACGGTTGCGGGATGGGCCGAAGGCAACTATCGGGAACGTGAACCGAGAACCCGAAACCTTCGCCCCAGGAGACCCCAGGAGGGGTCAAGAGGTCCCCAAGAAGCTTGGCGACAGATCACTGGTCGACCGGTCGATGAGAGCGGAGGAGGAAGAATGAGGAAGAGGCAGGAGGAAACAGAGAATGTTGACCTCATTATTCATGACCGCCTTGTTGTCTCAATGCTGTCAGCTATCGACCAGCTAGAAACTAAGCGCGCGCAAAGCGCGCGTGATGGCTCTGTTCCATATAGATATATGTGGAAATGTACCTTATATATATTAATATGCGACATGTGTATATATTATATTTCATATATGTTTGTATACATACATGTTGACCGACAGAGACCAACAGACAGACAGACAGGCATACAGACAGACAGACACACAGACAGACATACACGTACATGCATGCATGCAGACAGACAGACCGACAGGCAGACCGACAGACAGACAGACACACGTACATACATACACATATATATATATACATATATATATGCATACATCTATATGTATACATAAGTGTTTGCATAGATGTATGTATGTGTGTATAAATGTGTGTACATGTACAGATGCGTCGATATACAAATACATGATACATAAATATACATGTACACGCATCTCCGTTGCGCGCCTGTCTCTCCACTCTCTGCATCGCGTCCAGCCGTCGATGTGAATCGCTTTCGTGAAGGTTGGGCTCAAGAATCCGCAACAAGGCGGTGCGAATGGATTATCTCCTGCCTGCAGCCCGAATCGCGCGGGAAGGCACCCTCGCATACCTCTGGGTTGGCAACCTGCAGAGGTGCCCGCCCATCACCGTTCCCCCGTGCCCGGCATTCCCGGGGTGCGCTGCCTGTCCTCCTTGCCCTGGCTGCCCGGCGTGCCCGTTCGGATCGCCGGCCTTGGCGAGTGGGTCCCAGCAGGCGGGACGCAGTGGCCGAGCCTGGGTAGTTGTTTTGATTGGTCGTGCTGGCGAATGAGATCCTGCTGGCCAGCCTCGTCCCCAGATGGCTCTTCGTGACCTCGAGCTTCGGTTGGGTTGACTGGCTCCATCATCATGTTGGCCGCAGCGAGCGTGGTAGCAGCGGAGGCAGCCCCACCAGAGATGCGTCTCAGCGGGCGTGGGTCCGTTACTGTGGCACTAGCGGCTGATTTTGGGAGCGTCGGGTGAGGGTGCCGAGTGAGCTCGTCTCGCTCCTACTTGTCCTGATCTGCACAGTGGACACGGACATCTATGAGGAGGACTACGCGTGCACGGGGAGCGACTTCTTCACCGTGAGGTACTCGTCTGACAGAGCGACTTTCCCACTAAGAATTCGAGCTGCCAGCTCCTACCGTTTTCGTAGGAACCTGACCCTGGCCAAGCAGCAGCAAATCGACCAGACCGCGCTGGACTACTGCACCGCGGCCGTACCTGCCGATCACCAGCGGCTGCATCTGACCGCTCCAGGAGGGCCGTTCCTGATCCCGCTGACGTTCGCCCAAGGACCCCAAGCAGCGCCCGCCGAGCCAGCTGCTGCTGCCCCGGCCGCCGGGGCAGCAGGCGGCTGTCCTGGTCGCTGTCGGCGGCGGGTTGGGCGCCGCAGCCCCCGCCGCTGGCCCTGCCGCCGCTGCGCCAGCGGCCGCGGGCGCGGCGGCCCCAGCGCGGCCCCTGCAGCTGCGCGGGCGCGCTAGTCGAGTCGACGACCGCGGGCAAGCGAGAGGCCGTCATCGCCCCCCGACGGCGAAGGCCGTGCTGAAGGGCTCCGTGAGCCTGATGCCGCTGGAGGACGGGTCGCGGGTAGCCATCCGCTCAATTTCGGGCTCGGCGCAAGAGCACGCCAGGCGAGAGGCCGCGACGGACGCCAGGCCCATGGGCATCTTGCCCAACTCTGCGGTGCCTGGTGGACGTGTCTGTCGTCAGTGGAGGGATGCCGTAGCTAGCTTCACGGAGAAGGCCTTCGTAGATTGACACATCATTGGTCTTCGGACCTGTATCCGACGCTGCAAGTGCACCGATCGACGCCAGGGCGGGCCGCTCGACCACTTCAGGTTGTGGAAGTCTATGTTCGCCCTGTCGGCCGAGGATTACGGGGTCAATCAACGACTGCGAGGCCGGCATGCACGCCATCTACACGATGGCCTTTTGGGATGGCCTTGACCTGCCCAACATCTCGAGTGCTGAGCAGAAATTCCGTCCGCGTCAGATGCATCAGCGCGCCCATGCGATGGATCGCGACCCTCGCCATGGCTCCTCGGATGTCGGCGACGGAGGCGGCGACGCCGATGACAAGCAGAAGAAGAAGAAGAAGAAGAAGAAGAATGGCCACAGCCGCGGCCGCGGGGCGGTTCACTACAACTCCCTGAGCTCCGGGTTCATCGACGAGGGCGTCGTCTTCACCGGCCGCAGCCGCGACCAAGGGAGAGCATGATTTGCCCCCTGTTCTTGGAACACGTGGCGACGGAGGTAGAGAGGGACGCCTCGGCCCTGAAGCACGTCCGCAAAGCCCGCGAGGAGCAGCGGGCCTTGCAGCCACGACGCTGCTCAGTCCGCGCGGGTCACTCCCCTCCGGCGGCTCGCGCGGTTCTGGATGGGGGCCCCAGCGACGGTGGCCCGCCGCTCGCTGGAGACGCGCTCTTGGAGGGCGCGCGCCCATGTAGGCAACGTGATATGTCTCCACTTCCTGAGCCTGGTCAAGACCACCAGGTACGCTCTGCATCTGGCATCGCTTGCTCACGTTCGGCGCCTCGCCGCGGGCTCCGCCGCGGCCATGCAGATCGCCCGATGAACGAGGCGGCCCGCAGCTTCATTGAGCTCTACATCGGCCCGCCCCAGTGCCACGGCGTTCACCATCAGTCAGCCTCTGCGGGTCAGCAGCGAGCCCTCGACCACGTTCGCGATGCTGCCCGATGGCTCGGCACGCCCCTGGAAGGGCGCGCTGGCTCAGGAGCCCCTGAGAAACTCCTAGTTCTTAGCGGCCACGCCGGCGAGTCGGCCACCGTCGCTCCGCTCAGCCCTGAGCGCGCAAACAGCCCCTCTCTCCCGGCCGAGGGTCCGAATCCAGTCCCCCTTGAGCCCCTGGGAGATGGCGCTGGCCGAAAAGATATCTGGGCGGCTTCAATCTACGACGTTGACCCAATCTGAGGGTCGGGCCCGGGTTGCGCCCGAGGGCCCTCGGAGGCTTCACGCCGACCCAGCGCCGCGAAACGCCGCGCCACATGTCCAGCTGTTGGGGGCCTCGGAGCGTCGGAACTTGATCGCTTACTACGCTGACAAGGCCCGCAGCGTTGGAGCTTTCTTTTTTGTCCGATAAGTCGGAGAAGCTACGGCTCATCCTGGACGGCAGACGCATCGCTGCATTTCCAGGTCCCCGACCAGGTTGCCCTCGCCCCCAGCGCGAGCTTCGCCGGGCTCCACGCGGGCGAGTGGAAGGCCGTCGCCGCGGCCGAGGTCGACCTCGCCGACTCCTACAACATGCTGCTGCCGCCACAATTTCGGCGCTACTTTGCGCTGCCTGGCTGCCGCGCTTGGCATCTTGGGCCTTAGCTGCACCGCTCACGGCCGCGGCCTCGGCGGGGCGGATCTTGTCTGTCCACGATTCAGGTGCCCCCCGATGGGTTGTTCCTTCAGCCTTTGGATCTGCCGGTCGACGTCGGAGGCCGCGGCATTGCGGGCGCCTTAGCTGACCGTCGGCAACCGCGGGGCGGCGCCACGGGTGACGAGCGGGGCGATTCACGCCGAGCACGCGGATAACGCCTTCAGCCCCTCGACCGAGCAGGAGGCGGCCGCAGCGGCCGACCCTGCCATCAACGCCCCACTCCAAGCGGCCGGTCTGCCGACCCATGGAAATTAGTGCGGTTTCGGCGCCCATGGCGCTGAGCTGGCAGTTCGATGAGAAGTCCCCGACCACCGGCCTGAACCCAGCGCTGCGGTGGAAGTTGAGACGCGCCTTCTTGGAGCTCCGCCAGGGGGCGCCGCCTCGAGCCAGACGATCGCGCGGGCTGCGCCACGCTTCACGTCGCGGGCCTCGTCCGTCGCGAGCTCTTGTCCTGCCTCAATTCGTTGCACGCTTCCTCAGCCCAGCATGGAGGCCGCGCAGTACAGCTGTGGACCCCATGCCTGCGCGAGCTGCGCAAGTACGCCAGTCTAGACGTTTTCTGTTTCCGAGATGCTGGCGCGGCGTTCGACAGCCGGCTCACGATGGTGGATTCATCACGGCGGGGAGTCGAGGCCACCCAGAAAACATCGTCGTCAGAGGTCGCTCGAGAGCTGTCGAGGCACAACGAGAGGTCCACAAACATGTTGGCAAATCAAACGAATATCATTGTTTTATCCGCTCGGGGGCCCTCAAGGCCGTTGGAGGCCCTGGGACTTCTCGGGCGTCTTTCCAGCCGACTGGAGGCCATCACGGGCGCGTTGGACCGATCGTTCTGCGATTCGGTGCACTTTGGGGCATTTCTCGGAGCCTCATGGAGCCCTCTTGGCCTGCTGGGCGCCTTCTTGGGGCCGAGAAAGTCACGACCCGCCCGATTCGATTCTGCCGTCTACCTATGCTGCTATATGTTGTACCCGATTTCACCTTACCCGAACCCATTCGAAGATACTCCATTATATTCCTAGTTAAATGATGTTCGTAAGATTTTTTTTTTATATATATATATATAGTACGACATAGACGAGTTTTTTATATATATACATACATACATACATACATGCATGCATACATACATACATACATACATACACACATATATTGCACCCTTCTTCCTTCCACGTTGCTCTACTCCACCGTCCTCTCCGCTACTCCGTCCTACTCTATTCGAGTCGACTCGACAATCTTCCCCAATCGTCTCTAGCCCACTCTATCCGATTTGACCTTAACCGACCCTGCTAGATTCTATTCCTCCTGCTCCGTTATCCTCGACTCCTACTCGGTTTTGCTAGTCTAGCTTCTAGTATATTAGATTGTATGTTATATGCGCATATACTCTTCTCTACTCGACCGTGTCATGCTCTACTCTACTTTTTCCCGGAAAGGGCTTAGGCCCAGGGTTCTTTTCTAGAGGTTTACCCCTGGACCTGATTTGAGGTGGGCCCGCAGAATTATGCCCTGATAAGTATCGAGGTCGAGGTGGGCCGGCGGAATTCTCTTTGAGGATGTCCCTAGCGAAACGCTTGTTTTTGAAATCGCGATCGATAAATCACAGGGTGCGGGACACATTTTGGTCAGGGGCACGGATTATGTATGTTCCTATAGATTGGCCCCATCCAATGGCACGCATCTGTATGTTTTTACGTATGTTCCTATAGATGGGCCCTCTCGTTGCCTATAGATTGGCCCTCTCCAGGGGCACAATTACGTGTATTTTTCCCGGAAAGGGCTCAGGCCCAGGGTTCTCTTTTAGCTGTTTACCCCTGGATCTGACGGCTGTAGGGCCGGCGAATTTCTTTTGCGATAAATAACGAGGTCGCGTAGGGCCGGCGAATTAAAATGTGAGGATGTCCCTAGCGAAACGCTTGTTTTTCAGAATTTGTTGAGGATGTCTTGAGCGAAACGCTTGTTTTGTGTTAAAGATTGTCCTCTCCTGGGGACCTGAATTCAGAGGATCTCTCAAGTGAAATGCTTGTTTTCACGTGCCCAGGTCTTGAGGATGTCTCGAGCGAGACGCTTGGCTTCACGCCTCCAGGTTGCCCAGGCGGATGTCTAGCGTGAGGATTTGTTGAGGATTTCTCGAACCAGAGGCTTGTTTTCATGTGTCCAGGTCGCCCAGGCGGATGTCTAGCATGAGGATATGTCGAGGAAGTCTCGATCGAGACGCTTGTTTGCACGTGTCCAGGTTGCCCAGGCGTGTCTAGCGTGAGGATCTGCTGAGAACGTCTTGAGCGAAACGCGTGTTTTCACGTGTCCAGGTCGCCCAACGGCACAGCACAGCCTTCGGCACGGTACATCAATATCGATATCTTGAGCATTGCAGCTTGGCATGTTGCCTGGCACGTTCCGCGGAGCGTCCCGTGGCGAGTCCCCCTGGCACGTCGCGCGGTGCACGTCCATTGGCACGTTCCGTAGCGCGTCCCCTTAGCACGTCCCGCGGTGCGTGCCCATGGCACGTCTCCTGGCACGTCGCCTGGCGCGTCCCTTGGGACGTTCCGCGGCGCGTCCTCCTGGCATGTCCCCCTGTCGCAGCTACCATCTGCTCAGGCAGCTCGAGCTTAAGATCCAGATCAGTTCGGTCAGGACTCGGATGCAAAGAGGACTCGATCCACAACGCTATATAGAGCACAATCGCGGCATGTCACATCGCAGTTCAGCACGGCCAGCACAGCGCAGCCGTCGGCACGGTACATCAAGATCGATCTATTCAACAATGCATCTTGGCACGTTCTTTGGCGCGTTCCTTGGCGAGTCCACCTGGCACGTCGCGCGTCGCGTCCCCTGGCACGTCCCGCGGCACGTCCATTGGCACGTTCCGTAGCGCGTCCCCTTGGCTCGTCCCGCGGTGCGTGCACATGGCACGTCCCCTGGCACGCCGCCTGGCGCGTCCCTTGGGACGTTCCGCGGCGCGTCCTCCTGGCATGTCCCCTCTGTCGATTAGTTCTGGGACAGCCACCATCTGCTCAGGCAGCTCGAGCTTAAGATCCAGATCAGTTCGGTCAGGACTCGGATGCCAGGGAGGACTCGATCCACAACGCTATATAGAGCACAATCGCGGCATGGAACATCGCAGCTCAGCACTGCCAGCACAGCACCGCCCTCGGCACAGTACATCAAGATCTGTACATTCAGCACTGCATTTGCCTCACCCGATCAAGTGTCTTTGAAACGTTGCCATGCCTTACATTTCTATATTCCTTTCCGGGTTCGTGGGTCGATCATGTTAATGTTGACGATTGTTAGACGATTGTTGGGACGCCATTGGAACAACCACAGGAAGCCATTGGAATAGCCACCAGAAGCCGTTGCGATGGCAGAGGAAGCCAACGCAATAGCAGCGGAAAGCCATTGCAATAGCACAAGAAGCCATTGCAACCATTTGGGGCAAACTGAGGGGGAAAGCCTTTGTAACCATTTGGGGCAAAATACAAAAGGCGACATTGCACAGGACATTGCACAAGTTTTCGATGGTTTGAGCTAGGACTTCCATAGGCAGACCTATTGTTAGATGTGGTGCAATCCATGCGTTGCCATCTTTGTCGCGCAATGCGAAGCAACGCAAAGCAACGCAAGGCAACGCCATGCGATCTCAAAGCAAATTTGAAGCAATGCAGAGCAGCACAGCGCAACGCAGGACGCAGGGCAGCGCAATGGAAAGCAATTTTCAGCAGCGCGAAGCAACGCAACGCAAAGCAATGCAACGCGCGAGCTTCGCACGATCGAAATTGTGACCAGGGACGGTGGCGGAAGGGCGGCCGCAGGCCAGCCAGACAGGCAGCCAGCAGAAGAGAAGCAAGAAACCCTGGGTGCAAGCACTGCTTGGGGCAAAACAGCAACCAAAACAACAGCAGACACACAATGATGCGTTTTGGTTCGAGCTGCCACGACTGGGCGCAGGTCTTGAAGCAAGCGCGAGCGCCCCTCCTGCGCCTGCAAACCAGCTCCCCTTGCCGACACGATGGGCTGCTGCATGGCCTCCCGCGGGGCCCTCGCGCCCGAGGACAGGCAAGCTGGGGAGGCGCTCGTGGATCAGCAGCAGCAGCAGCAGGAGGAGCTCCCCAAGAAGGAGGAGCAGGAGCCGTTCGACCTGACGCGGTACACGGACGCCGCGAGCCTCTTCGACGCGTTCGCATTCACCACCATGGAGGGCCTCCACCCCGTGCGCCTGGTCCGCATGTCGTGGCTGCTGCAGCAGCGCGATACGGTCCTGAAGAGGCGCCAGGAGCTGCCGGAGGAGGCCTTCGTGTCCGCGGACGAGCTCCGGGCCGTCTGGGAGGCCAGCGGGCAAGGAGGAAAAGACCATGTGGCGCCGATCATCACCATCTCGTTTTGCTGGGACTCACGCGAGCATCCTGACCCCAAGGGGTTGCAGCTGAAGTTGGTGCTTGACACCCTAGAACAGGAGCGCCACAAGTACTCCAAAGCCATAGGTTCCTTCAAGGGGTTTAGCGAGATGGGAGTCTTCTGGGACTGGCCCTCGCTGCTGCAGGGCGACCCGATCAAGGCCGAGGAGGCGAAGTGCGCCGCCCTGCGGCAGGGCAAGAGCGAGAAGGACGCGCAGGAGGCCGCGGACAAGGCCAAGCGGACCCCCGCCGAGAAAGCCGCCTTCAAGCACGGGCTGGAGAAGACGATGGACCTGTGGTACGCCCACCAGGCCACCACCGTCCTCCTGCTCACCCAGCACCCCCGCGAGCGGGGCAGCGCGCGCGAGTGCGGCTACGACCAGTCCGGCTGGACGACGTACGAGCGCTGCTCCGCGGAGCAGATCAAGCAGGTCTTCCGCTCGGAGGCGCGGTGGCACGCCGTGGCCGATCTGGGGCACGGGGCGGGGGCGGCGCAGGCGGGGAGGCGGTGGCCGGTGGGCCCGGACGACTTCGACCGGCTCATCGAGGACAGGTCCTTCACCAATGGCGCGGACCGGGATGCGGTGAAGGCGCTCTTCCGCCAGATGAGCCGCGCGCAGCTGGGCGGCGTGACGAAGCTGGATTTCGACGGAGATCATTTCGACAAAATGCCGCCTCCGAACCCCGAGCAGGCCGCGGCGCTCGCCAGCTGCCTGCGACTGTGCGCTCGCCTGGAGACGCTGGACCTGAGGAGCTGCAAGATCTGTCCCGTGGGGTCGAAGGCCCTGGCGGAGGCGTTGCCCTCCATGCCCAGCCTGAAGGAGCTGCTCATGATGTTCAGCAGCATCGGCGACGAGGGCGCGCAGGCCCTGGCGGGGGCGCTGCCCTCCATGCCTGGCCTGGAGAGACTGAACCTGGCTTACAACCGCATTGGCGACGAGGGCGCGCAGGCCCTGGCGGGGGCGCTGCACTCTATGCCCTGCCTGAAGACGCTGCTCCTGCAGCACAACCGCATCGGCGGCGACGGCGCGCAGGCCCTGGCCGGGGGCGCGGCCCAAGCCCGGCGTGGAGTTGCTGAGCCTGCGCGGCAACGGCATCGACGACGAGGGCGCGCAGGCCCTGCGGGCCGCCTGGGGCGACCAGCGCGGCAAGTTACAGGTGGCCGGCGTCTGAACCGGGGCGCCCCCACAGGGGTGCCAGGGAGAAGCGGGAGGGCGCGCGGCAGGGAGGGCACCGTTAATTTTACAGCGGGGTCAACATTTAAGAGTCGCTTTGGGTTGCCGTGGCGAGACTCACACGCATACGAAATTGCGGTTTTTCACCACGCGTGTTCAGGGCGTCCGCAAGAGATTGCAGAGATGGCAGCCCCCCAGCAGCAGCGGCCCACATTTATATATATATATATGTATATATATATATATATAAACATATATATATATATATATATATATAATGCTGCTCGCTTGCCCGAAGCGGTCTTGATCACTGCCATCACGCGGGAGCGGTCGGCTCTATTTTGCCCCTTTCCTTCCCCATAGTTCCCGGAAAGGGCTTAGGCCCAGGGTTCTCTTTTAGTGGGTTTACCCCCGGGTCTGACGGGAAGAGGGCCGGCTGATTTCTTTTGCGATCAATAACGAGTGGGAAGAGGGCCGGCGAATTAAAATTTCAGGATGTCCCTAGCGAAACGCTTATTTTTCAGAATTTGTTGAGGATGTCTCGAGCGAAACGCTTGTTTTGTGTTATAGATTGTCCTCTCCTGGGGACCAGAATTTCACTAGAGGATCTCTCAAGTGAAATGCTTGGTTTCACGTGCCCAGGTCTTGAGGATGTCTCGAGCGAGACGCTTGGTTTTGGTTTCACGCCTCCAGGTTGCCCAGGCAGAAGTCAAGCGCCAGGATTTGTTGAGGATGTCTCGAGCGAGACGCTTGGTTTCACGCGTCCTCGTCGCCCAGGCGGATGTCTAGAATGAGGAGGTGTTGAGGAAGTCTCGATCGAGATGCTTGTTTGCACGTGTCCAGGTTGCCCAGGCGGATCTAGCATGAGGATGTGTTGAGAATGTCTCGAGAGATACGCTTGTTTTCACGTGTCCAGGTCGCCCAGGCGGATGTCTAACATGAAGATGTGTTGAGGATGCCTCGAGCGAGACGTTTGCTTTCACGTGTACAGGTCGCCAAGGCGGATGTCTAGCATGAGGAGGTGTTGAAAACGTCTCGAGCGAAACGCTTGTTTTCACGTGCCCAGGTCACCCAGGCGGACGTCTCACATGAAGATGTGTTGAGGATGTCTCGAGCGAACTACTTGTTTTCACGTGTCCAGTTCGCCCAGGCGGATGTCTAGCATGAGAATGTGTTGAGGATGTGTTGAGCGAAACGTTTGTTTTCACGTGTCCAGGTCGCTCAGGCGGATGTCTAGAATGAGGATTTTGACAGGATGTCTCGAGCGAAACGCTTGTCCCCAGCACGTTCCGTAGCGCGTCCCCTTGGCACGTCCCGCGGTGCGTCCCCATGGCACGTCCCCTGGCATGTCGCCTGGCGCGTCCCTTGAGACGTTCCGCGGCGCGTCCTCCTGGCATGTCCCCCTGTCAATTAGCTCTGCGGCAGATACTATGTGTTCAGGCAGCTCGAGCTTAAGATCCAGATCAGTTCGGTCAGGACTCGGATGCAAAGGAGGACTCGATCCACGACGCTGTAGAGCACGACCGCGGCATGGCACATCGCAATTCAGCACGGTGCAGCACAGCACAGACTTCGGCACGGTACATCAAGATCGATACAATCAGCATTGCAACCTGGCACGTTCCGTGGGGTGTCCCTTGGCGAGTCCCCCTGGCACGTCGCGTGGCGCGTCCCCTGGCACATTCCGTGGCACATCCATTGGCACGTTCCGTAGCGCGTCCCCTTGGCACGTCCTACGGTGCGACCCCATGGCACGTCGCTTAGCGCGTCACCCAATCGGTACAGCAAGATCGATACAATCAGCATTGCACTTGCCCGTCACCCAATCAGGTGTCTTTGAAAACGCTGCCATGCGTTACATTTCTATATTCCTTTCCGGGTTCGTGGGTCGATCATGTTTTTCTTCTCGTTTTTGTTGCCGCTGTCTTACCAGGCTTAGGTCGGTGGACTGGCGCCCTTCGCCCCTTCCTCTGCCTCCGCCCCGCTGCCTTGGCCCCGTCGAGCAGTCTGCTCGTTATGTTTAACCGCTAGGCGTCCGACCCGCAAAGTCTGAGTTGTTTAGCTTCGATTACGCCTGGAGTCAGAAGCATCAGCAGCGCCCCGAATCTCAGCCTCAACAGTGGCTCCCGACACGGCGCACCAGCGTCGGAAAAAACATTCCGCACGCCGTTCTTCCGAGACTGCTTCTACAAACATCGCTGATACAACGAGCGGCGGTCAGACCTGCTCCCGCGGCCTCATTCCTCCCTCGCCTCGCCTCCCTCATGCTTCCATCCTCCCTCTTTCTTCACCCCATTCTTTCCCTTCTCGCCTTCGCTGTCGCTTCCCTATCAGGCTTGGGTCGGTGGACTGGCGCCCTTCGTCTCTTCCTCTGCCTCCGCTCCGCTGCCTTGGCTTGACGAGCAGTCGGAGTGTTGCGTTTCACCGTTCGGCGAGCCGCGCGTCCGGGCTGTGCGGCTTCCTCTTCCTGCTCGCACTCTCCCAATATTGCGAAGGCCTTAGGGCCGGTGCCGCCGACCCTGAAGGGGGACGTCGACGACGGCGGCGGCGGCGGTGGCGACGACGACGACGCTGACGCGGGCCCGAGTCTGGCCTCTGGAGAGGAATTTTGGGGTCTCTTGGGAGCCCTGGGCCTGTTCGAGTGTCCTGGGGGCCTCTTGTGGGCTTCTTGGGGCCTCTTCGGAACCTCTCGGGGTATCCTGGGAGCTTCTCGGGGCCGAGGGCTCGAAATGTCCGTTCGGATTCTCCGTCAAGGCACGCTCTTGGAGCCGTCTTGGGGTCCTCTTGGGCCGTCTTGGAGGCGTTTGGGGTTGTCTTGGGGTTCTCTTGGGATGTTTTGGAGCGCTCTTGGAAGCCTCTTGGGGCGATCTCGAGGGCCTCGTCGGCCGTCTTGGAGCGGCAGGAAGCGGAAAAGGCGAAAACACCCAAACCGAAAAAAAATCAATGATTGTTGCCTCTTGTGGCACTCTCTGGAGAGCCTTTGGAGGCCTCTTGAGGCGTCTTGGAGGTCTCCTGGGCAGTCTGGCAGCGTGAAGGCGTTTTGGACCGATCGTTTGGCGATTGGGGGCCCTCTTGGACCGTCTCGGGGGCATCTTGGTGCACTCTTAGCTTGTTTAGGTACTTTTTGCAGCCCTGGGACCTCCAGGGGGAGATGCGCATCTGACCCCCCTCCCTGGGACCCCCCCGACGGGGGAGGGATCAAATGGAAGGGGCTCCCCTTTCGATTCGATTACTACATTGCGAGGTGGTTCTCTCGCTGACAGGCCTGAGGAGGGCGCAGGGAAAGGGGGCGACGCACACGACGACTGACGGAGACGGGGACTCGAAGAGACAAACCCCTCGCACTCGCCGACAGGGTCAGCGGATTTCCCCCCTCATCTCATCTTCTTCTCTTCGCGCTCCTCCATGAAGGGCTGCGCTCACTTAGAGCGCCAAAGTGCTAAGCACCAGTCCGCTGCTTAGACAGGCCCAGAGGTAGCATCCGATGTCGTCCGCGCGGCACTTCTTCACTTGAATTGGGCATGGGTGTTCCAGGAGTGGCAAATCCTCGCCACCCACATTGCGTGCGATCCTGCAGTGCACGCGCCAGCGAGGCCCGGCTTTCGTAACATCCGTCTTGTTGTATTCCCGTATCTCGCCTCGTCTCATCTTCTTCTCTTCGCGCTCCTCCATGGAGAGCTGCGCCCATTTAGAGCGCCAAACTAAGCAGCAGAACGTTGCTTAGACAGGCCCAGAGGTAGGATCTGGTGCAGTGCGCAGCTCGTCCGCGCGACACTTCTTCAAATGCATTGAGCGTGAGCGCTCCGGGAGTGGCAAATCCTCGCCACCCACACTGCGTGCGATCCTGCAGTGCACACGCCCGCGAGGCCCGGCTCTCGCGCGCAGGCCAGTGGGAGGGGGGGGGGAAGGAGCGACCCGATGGAGGGGAGCGAAGGCTGGCAGAGGCGCCACACGTCACCGCTCCCGCGCGGGCTCCTCTCCCAGGACTTAGCATTCCCAGTCGCCGCCTGCATAACATTAGGTTCGTAGCATTTGTTTTTCTCCCCCCAATATTGTCTTCTTCTCCTCCTCGAGCTCACTGTCCATTCCACTTTGCTTCCTCCTCTCCCTCCACCTCCTTCCCCGATGAAGCACGACGTATGGCCGGACAAAGGACGTCGATGGAATGATAGCTTCACCCCGCAGCTAGAAATCCAGACCGCCTGCAGGCGTGCGCCGTCTGGCGCACGGGGCGAAGGACGTGCATTTTCCGCACTTCGAGGCCACGTCAAACAATAAAAGAGTAAGCATAAACAATAAAAAAACAAAGAGTAAGCATAAAAGAGTAAGCATAAACAATCAAAGAGTAAGCATAAAAAAGTAAGCAAACGTCGAAGGAATGCAAAAAAAAGAGTAAGCACAAACAATAAGAGCGACACAGCATGACAGACGTCCCCACCGCGGGCCAGACTGGGAGGATGGGTAAGAGGGGCAAGAGAAGGAGGAGTGGTGCAAGAAGGGGAGGAGAGGGAGGGAATAAAGGAGGAGGGAGCAGCGGACATGCAGGAGGGCCAACAGCGCGCCACCCTCATCCGGTCTGACGCCTGGGGGAGGGGATGATGGTAGGAAGACAGTTGTGTGAGAACAGCGGCGCGGCGTCATGCAGCATGAGGGGTACGCCAGGATGGATGTGCAGACGCTTAGTGTAAGGCGAGCGAGGGACAGCGAGAGAAGGCAAATAGGTTCCAAACAAGCACGTGTGCAGTCCAGCAGAAACCCCGAGTGTTTGTCCGAAGGCGTACGACTGGGACGAGTTTATGAAGATTCCTGGATGCCAACGCATAGTTCACAGCACCGAGGACAAGACGAAAAAGTTCATGGGAGGCCTGCTCCAAATGGCTGGACGGAGAGGAGAGTAGACGGAGGGTGATCATGCGACGTCAAGTTGAATTCGTGTCTCTCAGACCCCACTGTCCTCTCGCGCTTTATCCACTTGTCAGAACACTATTTGCCCCAGCAATCGAAGACGAATACTGTGAACCACCGCCGCCTTTGCCTGCTGCCTTCAAGAATCGCATATGTGGCCAAATGGTGGGCCAAAGTCTGGCCAAGACATTGGGCTATATGTTCTCGCAGACGTTGTGTAAACCTTCGGGGAATGCTCGGGGAAGGAGCAGAGGAGGGAGGAGAAGGAGGAGGAGGAGGAGGAGGAGGAGGACAACGAAGACGAGGG